CCTTGCCTCCATGTAGGATTTTTCTAGCTTACCTGTTGTTTGAAATGGGTTATCTATCTCTGAGTATTGCGGTTAAATTGTAAATTGGTTGTTGTTTATTGGATTTGTTTTTGTTGAATCCTGTTTCTGTTTGGTTGCTGTGAAATTTCGAGCAAATTAGACGAATTAGGTTTTCCATCTTGGAATTTTACTTGTTTCTGTATTGGATAGAAATTCAAAACCAGAATTGTTTCGTCAACTGATCCCCAACTGATGGTCTGCATGCCGCTGTAGACTTTAATGTTTTTTATTCTGTATGGATGATTTGATAACATAAGCATTCCAAAGATTAAGCTGCAATTAATGTTTGAATCTCAATGTTGCAGTATTAGTCGTGTTTATATTATATGTTGTACTTGTTGCTTAGAGAATGACTGTGTTACCGAAACTAATTAAAGCATGGTGAAAAAGTTTGGGGAAGGTGGGGCAAGAGAAAATTGTTGAAGGAATTGGTCGTTTTTGAGGGATCGATTGAAGATATGTTTGAGTTGAAGTATGTACTAGTGTTACAAGTTGTGAAAGCATTTCAGTTTTTAATGTTCGTTTTGTAGTTTTCCCTTCAACGTAAAATAGCTTGGTGATATAAAATTCCTTAAATTTAATTCTTTTATAAGGCTAACGTCATGCCCAAATGGGTATCTAATTGACATTTTAGCGATTGACAAGATTTAGTAGCACCCTGTAACTCATTTTAGCACTATTCTCAACAATTTTTTTTTTTTGTGGAATTCGTTTTTATGTATTTTTCATGTCTGTGTGCCTTATATATAACTTAACAATGCTCTTTGAGGTCAAATATACGAGGATTTCTGAATCTCTTTTCCTGCCCACTTGCATTAGCTTTAGTGGTTTAATTCTGCATCAGGATAAAGGCACAACCATTTCGTCAGGCTTTTGTTTTTGTATGGGAATCCACTCTTACATTTGTTCGATTTTCCACCACTCTATTGGTTGTGTGTGTTAAGTTAACTGAGATTTATTTGTATATTATTTTTATTTTTATTCTCAGACGTCTTCTTATATATTAGTAATAAAAGTTTGTAATGTGTCCTTTGCAGAACGGCTTATGATGTAAGCTTGAGTGATGATAGCTGGCCTCAAGATATCTTTGAGGTTGTCAGCGGTAACACTTCCAAGTCATGGGAAAGGCTTGATGCGTAAGTTCCAGCTTTTCCTCATAACATATTCTGCTTTGCATGGCTTACTTTCCTTTTGTTTCTTAGTTAATGGCTGCCTAAATGGGATTTGCAGAGGTGCCATTATATCCCACTCTTTTGAATTGGAGGCCAAAGAAAAATTACTTTTCAATGGTGCACCAGCTCTTATTACATTCCGCATTCCCACAAAGGCTGCTTTACAGGTGAGATGCCTGCGACCGGTTCCTTTGCTACTCATTTTGGCTGTATAAATGTATACCTTCTGACTTTTTTCTGTTTCTTATAGGAGTCTTATTCAACTCCAATATTTCCTTTGGATGTTCTGGCAGACAGGCCTCCTGAGAAGAAGTTTCAGTGGGTAAGTTCCATTAAATAAGGGTTATATTATGCAATCTGATTTCGGACAACTTTTACGGTGTTAACTGAGGTGGTGTTTTGTGGTTTCATGAAATTATCTCTGCTGGGGGCCTGACTTTTCAGGTTAAGGTATGAAATACTCTTTTATATGCTGTTGAATCTTTTGTTCTCTGAATTTGTCAAAGTCATCACGAACTTTACAATATTTTCTGAACTGAACATTCCTTTGCTTCATCCCTAACATCTCGACCTTTTCTTATATGCAGAGGTTTCTGGCAAAGTACGGGTCTCTGATCTCTGTTGTCTCCATCGTGGTTCTATTTGTGTACCTGGTTGCCAGTCCATCCAAATCCGGTGCTGCAAAAGGAAGCAAGAAGAAGCGTTAAATCACGGATCTTTGCTTGATGCTAGTGCATGCACCTATGGTGTTGTGAGTTGGTATTTTCTAGTTAGTGGCACATGTTAGTTTCCAAAGCTTCCAAAAATGAATAGTTTAACAAGTTAGTGTAAGATGAACAAACTGATACATACAGCGGGTTTAACCCGAAGGAGGAGGTCTTTGGTAGTGCTTCGGAATCAGTAATTGCTAGTCAATTTTGGATTGAATGTTATTTTTGGCATTTGAGTTTTGATGCTGTTAAACTTGAATATTGGAAATGATACTTGGTACCATAAGCTGTGCATCAATGATTGTAACTGTTTGGGCCTGCTCGATTAACTGAAGAAAAGAGGGAAGATATTTATCGATCCCACCAATCCCTCTCTCCTTTAACAACTAACAATTTAACTCATTACCGTTATCGTTTGTTAAAAAAAGTTTATTGAGGATTAGCTCAGTGTTCTTGCTCAGATATTTCATGTGACATGTAAAGATAAAAAGTTTGAGTGAGTTAATCGGTGTTCTTTCGTAATCTTCTAAATGGCAAAAATGAATAGTAGGATAAAGAGAAGGAAATTATTATTTTGTTTTCGCTAAAGAGGGTGTTGAAGCCAAACATAATCATTGTCTGGCCCTAAAAAGGTCATTCTAATCCATCTCCTAAAAGACTAAATTATAAACTAAACCACTCTAAGGTTCACAAAAGTTGTGAAGTCCAAATCTTGATCGTGCCCAAACTGAGTCAAAAAGTCAGTAACACAATTCAATTCCGGCTAAACATGATTAAATCTGCAATCCTCAAATCTCTAGCTAAAAAGAAAGATACTAATTGAAAATCCGACCCTATTTAAGTTTAAAAAGAATCAAGATGCAATATTTATTTTCATTTGTAAGGACATTCATACTATTAAAGATGTTCGGTTTCTCTTAATTAATGATAAGTCACGTGACAACTGTTCGATTTCTCATAATTAATGATAAGTCACGCAACGACTGTGACGTAACAGATAGACTTATTATAAATTAAAATATTTCTCTAATACATTTTTTTTCCTTTAAAAAAAAAGGACTGGTGGCTAGCCACGATTATTCACCCCTTCTGAGGGCTGAAAAGACTCACAGAGACATTTTAGCCTTCCTCGACCACAATCAAGCAAACTCAGCATCTTGGAGCCTCAAACATGAGACCTCCCTTATTTTTGTATTTCTAATACATTATATGTGGTCAAGGAACTTAGATTGCCATCATTCATCATACAGTCATGTGGGATATATTAGATTGTAAGACATATATATGAAATGGTTTTGTACACAAGTCTTATTATTGTAATAACTAATAATCTATATTCATCAAAGGCATGTTTATTTATCAACCTCCCACCAGCCTTTGTTTTTTTTTTTTTATAACAAAAAAATATTATCTTTTTTTTTTAAACAAATGATATTATGATATTATCTACACTAAGCGGGAAGATGTAGGCTTAGCCTCACAAGAGGCTAGCAATAGTGTGGTTCAAATTCGTCTTTGGCGAGAATCGAACCTAAGACCTCTTACTTACAAGTGAAAAGGAATATCACTAAATTGTAGTACTAAGTGAGTAATATTAGGGAAATCACATATTTATAATAATGTAATGAGTAATATTAGGGAAATCACATATTTATATCACCTAATCAGTATATGTCTATTACATTCAACTCTATAATCACTATTACTTGGATTTGTAGGGAAAATTTGTCATTTTTCATCACATTTAATTAAGGGAGACTTTGGATGTGGTCCTTAGCTATGAATGTTCTTTGATTGAAACCTTGTTGGTTTTTAACTTTTGATCGAGGTCCTTGAAATTAATGTGGTAATTTATTTCTATGTACGTTACTATATTTTTAAATTAAAAATTAAAAATTTTAGTTGTTTATATAAATGAGATTTTAAATAAAAAACCATAATTTGTGGGATTAAAAAGATTAAAATATAAATATACTATTGTGTGTGTGTGTGTGTATAAACATGGGTACATTCATCAAAATTAACCAAAAAATTTATTGTATCAAAACATGGGTACATTCTTCAAAATCACAAAAAAAAAAAAAAAAAAAAAAAAGATATTAGGCTTAATAACATTAGTAAATTTCTTCGATTAAACTTGACATGGATACATTTTAAAATCAAAGAATAAAGAATTAATGTACCCATATAAGTTTAAAAATGGATTAGAAAAAAATTGAATAGATTTTATATAAAAAAAGGTACATTTTACATATAACAAATTGGTATATTTAAGAATGAGTACTTTTTAAGATTAAAAAGCTTTACATGAATGGGTACATATAATTAGCATGAGTACATTTAGCAAAATAAAAAGTACAAATAAAAAAAATATGGGTACAAATACAAATAAACTTTTAAAAATATGGGCACAAAAAGAAATTAATATATGGGTACAAATTAAAACTGAAAAGAAAATTGGTACAAATTAAAAAAAGAATTACAAATTAAAAATGGGTACAAACTAAAACTAAAAATATATGATAAAACAATTTAGTCATAAATATAAATATACTAATTGTAACATTTTTAACATTAAATGAATATATTTAGAAATAAAAAAAAATTTTATTATTGAAATAATTAATGATGTTTAATACCTAAGGACCTTGATCAAAAATTGAAAATGAATAGGATTTTAATCAATAGAGTAGCAAAATGAAGGATAAGAACCTAATTTAATCGTGTTAAATGACGTAACTCTGAACTTACTTGTCGTTTATTATAAACATATCGCGTTTAGGTTAACCCGCATACCTTATAAATTAATTATAAACTTAAGAACTAAGTTTTAATTAATCCTTTGTTTCCCTCCCATAATTCTTCTTTTTATTTATTCAATTCGACTGCTAAAAAAAATGAATAAAGGGGAGAAAAAATGATTGCCAAAATCATTTCATTTCTTTATTGTTTACCTAATAAAATTTATCACCACAAATTAGCCCGATAAATTTCCACTGGGTGTGCAAACCCCAGATAAAACCAAATTAATTAAGGAGCCAGCCCCATTGTTGTAAGTTTGTAGTCTATAAATACCAGCAACTCACTCAATACTCCTCACTCTTTGTGTTTCTTGAGCTTCCTAGGTTCTATGTTCATTTTCTAAATCTCATTTAGCAAATTTCATACTCTTTTCATGGATCCTTCTTTGTGGGCATTTCTTCAAGGCAGTCCTGAACAATCCGTTCCCTATCCGTGGGAACGCTGCTTTGACGTTGAGGTGAAATTGTCCTCTCTTTATCTGGTTCTGGAAGCACACATACATTGATACATACACACTCACTCAGTCAGATCTTTTTTTTATGGGAAATGATTCTCCAAACACCCTTTTTCTCTTGTTGTCTCTTGATTCTCTTTTGATTTATTCAATTCAAGAGTAAGAAATGAACATGTGTGTACATGTATGTTTGCAGACGCAAATTCTAATGTACAAAAACAGGCTGACGGGAGCTGTTATTCTGGATTTAAGGCCAAGAGTGAACCTGGGAGGAGGTTTGTACAACATCAGCGACATGTGGTTTCTACTGACCGATCGCTACGACTTATACCCGCCGGCCGCTGTGACTGCCGGCGTGCAATGGCCTCTTAATCTGTTTTGCAGGAACATTAGTGTGCATGATCAAGACACGCCTATTATGATATGTTCCACCTGCTGCACTCGCCAAGTCATTTATCTCCTGGTACCCCACGTCGTCACACACTGCCCTCTGTGTGGCCGCCTCATGGGTTTCTTTGCTTAATATTACTTAAGGTTTAATTAGGTCAAGTTGTAATAGACTACAATGCAATTAAGCCGTACTTATCTTAGATTTGTGTTTCTCTTTTCTTTTTCTGGTTAATTTGACTGGGATGTAAGATTTTAAATGATCAATCTCATGACTCAATTTTTGGTATGTTATTCGATTCATGCCATTTCGATTAATTAATGCGATAGTTTTTTCAGTTGGAGTTGAAATTAATTCAGTTTAATGCGTTTTTTTTTTTTTTTTTTTTTTTTTTTTTTTTTTGCATGGCCAAGGCCTTGGTGTATCTTCTTTTTCAGTCAACCCCGCAATTAATGACATGCAAAAGAAATTTTCTCACCAGTTCCATTCTTTTTATTTTATTTGTTGTGTGTTTTAATACTATTTCTGGTTTAATAACAGCACCAAGAAAAATTGTTACGATTAATCTTTCTTTTAGCTTTGCCGGTACTATTTTGACTATGGAAAAAGGAGGACGCAAAACCAGAAGCGATATACGCATGCGCAGTATTCTTCTTCGCAGTTCTTGGAGAATATTGTCTGGTTTTGTTAAAACTGTGCTGTTATTACTTCTGCAAATGTTAAATATTCGATGCCTTGTTTTTGTGCTAATTAACTAAGATTATTGTTTCCCTTTTTTACTTTCTATGTATTTGTTCACCATTTTTGTCAACCTTATCAATAGTACAATGGATTGGCAACAAACCCTATTTACTTCATGAGGTCAATTCCAACTTGTTTAATTAGGGATATGTCTAGCTAGGTCAGATTTCCCTCAAGTCAGTTATATTGTGACGTTGTTGCAAGCAAATCTGTTACATATTTCGTAATTTCTAATCCTCGTAATTAATAAGGAGGCATTTATTATGTGATTTAATAAAAAACACATACACTGCTTGAATATCTGGCAGTAAGTTACAGTAGATTGAACAGAAAATAAAAGAGTTCTGTACAGAGTAATCTTAACTACTTACATGGTTTAAGAGTTCTTGAATTTTTAGAAACTTAGTGTGGAAAAAATGACATCAAAAACAGATTTTATATGATGACTTCTAAATATTTGCAACACCGAATAAAATATGAGTTACATATCACAGTTTTGCACGCCATTGATTAACAAATAAGCCTTGTAGAAGCCGTCTCAACATACAATTTATAAACACAGTTCCAGAAGTATTTTTACAGATTTTATAAGTTAAAAATGGAGAAGTTATAAAAAAATGGAAAAATTAGTATCCGGTCCGTAGTTTTTACTGTTCATTGACTAAGACCTTATTAGTTCTCAAATTTTGATTCAAGTCCCTAGCATTAATGTGATAATGAATTTACATGTTTATTATATAATTTTTTAATATAAAAATTAGTAATTAATTTAGGGTTTAATACTCACACCTCTATTAAACTTCTAATTAATTTTCAATTCAAACATTTACAAAATAATAATAAATTAAATTAAATTAAGTTTGTACCTATTAGTTTTTTTTTTATATATATAAAAAGATTCTCAATTTTTAATCTTAAATGTACCCATTCATATAATTTTTCAATTTTTTTAATCTTAAATGTACCCATTCTCAAATATATCAATTTGTTATATTTAAAATGTACCCTTTTTTTTAATAAAAAATCCTTTCAAATTTTTTTAATCCATGTTTAAACTTATATGGGTACATTTCTTTTTTCGTTGATTTGAGAATGTATCCATGTTTTGGTACAATAACTTTTTTTGTTAATTTTGGTTAATGTACCCATACATATATGTACACACACAATATAATAGAGAGTATAATTTATATTTTATTATTTTTGATCCCATAAATTATGGGTTTTATTTAAAATCTCATTAATATAAACAATTACAAATTTCAATTTTTAATTTTTAATTTAAAAAATATAGTAACTTACATTATTACATTAATGTCAGGGACCTCAATCAAAAACTAAAAACTAACAAGGTTTCAATCAAAGAATATTAATAGTTAGGGACCGCATCCAAAGTGTCCCTAAAAAAATACTAGCTGAGAATATTTCATTTTAATTAGCTTATTGTGCGGCTACGATGATACGAAAATGAGGATTGTGATTGATGTGGGATTAGCAAGCACGGAGGTTTATCGTATTATAACAATCAAGAAATTACAATCAGTGAAAGAGTATATATAACTGGCCAGGCCAGAAATTTGGAAATGGAACGAAATAATCTCGGTCGATCGGGTGAGAGAATTAAAAATTGTAAAAGAAGAGCAAGACAATATAATTTCACGAGCAGAGCAGAGAAGCAATAAAATATTAACAAGATTAGTAACTCTCCTAATAGTCAGCCTTGTCAGGCTTCTGGTATGCAATGTCATTGTCAGCAGCAACGGCTGGTTTGACGGCAACTCCAGATGCCACAAAGGTTGAAATACTTTGGGTCAAATGCCTCGACGCCTTTTCGTAATTAACAAAACCCATGAACCAGAAATCATGGCCGTCGATCGTCACAATCTGGATGTACTTTTCCCTTGGATTTTCCCTCATCACCACTGGATTGATAGTTGCAATATTTCCCAATGGTACCATTATTTTGTAGTAGCTCCAGGTGACCTGGCCGGAGGGGGCGGTGAAGGACAAAGGGCGGTCGCTGCAGAAAGCTGTATGGAAATTGGAGAGGTAAAGAGTTCCGGCAACTGGTCCTGTGGATGTGGAGAGATAACTGGCAAATGACTTATGCAGCTTCTCGTTGGGATAAGTCGCAAATGTCTGCTTGTACAGAGCCTCAAATCCTCCTCCTGTTATTGCTTTCGCAGTCAGGTTCATCTTCGCCCACGCAGCTCCAGACACCGATGTCCCCGTTTTCACTGACATGATATCATCGATCAATCAAATTAGTTTAGATGTTAGTTAATTTGTATCAATTTAATCGATTTTTGAGCGATCATAAGACAGACGACGTCCTGCACTAAAATTTTATGTGCTTCTGGAATAGTTAAAAGTGTTTTCTACAATAAAAAAATGTCTCCAACTGCGTTTGTTAGCAAAACATGATGTGCCAGGATAAGCACATGTCAAATGATTTCCATATATAAAGCACTTCTAGCGAAAAGACTTAAGGGCAGAATCGCTTTCTCAAGAAGCGGTTCACACAACACTTAGATACTTAGGGCTGGTTTGGTATTGCTGTGCTTTGAAAAAAAGCTGCTGTGAAAATAAGCGGCTGTGCTGTGAGAATAAGCGGCTGTGAAATAAATCAGCAGAGTGTTTGGTAAACTTTTTTGTAAAAGTGCTTTTGGAAAAAAAAGCACTCAAATAGTGAGTCTTTTCATTAAAGAAGCATTGTAGCTCCGTGTGCTTTGAAAAAAAGCCATTTTTCCAAAGCTGCAAATAGCAGCTTCAGCTTTTTCCTTTGATTTCAGCTTATTCTCACAGCAGCTTCCAAAATAAGCCCTTTTTTTTTCAGTTTACCAAACACCTAAAACCCTCACAGCTTTTTTTCATGGGTGCTTTTTTTTTAAGCACCTCACTCCCAAACTAGGTCTTAATATGTTCATGAGTTAAAAGTAACATATATAGACATATAAGAGATGAGAAACATAAAATATATACATACAGTTGTGCCAGATGTTGTTGGCCATGGACTCGGCCTTGTTGGTCCAGGAGTTGAAGACGTGGAGCATGGATTCCATTGGACTGGTGTTGTTGGACTTGTCAAGGGGTTTGTACTGGAGGTAGGGATTCTGGGCTTGCTCGGTTCCGGCAGCACCCCACAGAGCTGCTTTTTTGTTGTCCGGATGGCTAGTTGGGACGGCAGGGTGCCCCATGACGTGAGTCCCCCACTGCGCTGATTTTTCTTCCTCACTTGGAGTTGGTGGGATTGACGGAGGAGATGAGCCGCTTGATGAGGATGGAATATCTTGATCATGAGTAGCTTGTTTTGGTTCTTGGGTTTTCTCATTCTGCGGTGAGGATGCATCGTGAGGAGGTGTTTCTTCGGAAGAGGATGGCGGCATTGACGGAGGTGTTTGATGAAAAGGGTTGATGTCTTCAGCGGGAGGTGTTGGGAGAAAAGGGTTTGTGTTTTGGTGTGTGGGAGGAGAAACGGAGGGGTAGAGGGGAGGTTGGGATGCTTCGTTATTGAGGTGGTTCATTTTGGCTGGGAGCAATGGAAAGGAAATAGCAAAACAAATGTAAAATGTATGATTTTGTGGTGTGAGACTGAGAGTTTCTTGGATTGGAATTTGGATGTGATCGATTTGGTTTGCAGAAAATTGCAGTGCTTTTGATTGGTTGGGAGACCTTATTTATATACGGGAAAATTTTAGTGGATAGGATGTCCAAAAAAAATTTAAAAAAAAAAGAAAAAAGAAAAAGAAAAAAAAGGTTGAAAATTGAAATGGCAGACACGGGAGGTGATTGAAGACTTTCTAGAAACATGTGATCTGATGTGTATTTGTTTTATGAATTATTCAGGTAAGATATATAAGATCAAGTTTTAGAGAAAGGAGTTGGTCACTGCGGGGCCTGTGAAAGCGAAAAGGTTGACTCAGGCGGAGGAGGAAGTTGCTTAACCGTGTTATTAAAGCCAATAAGTTATAATTTTCAACATCCATCACTTCTAGATAAGATATTTCATCCATGTGATGCAACCCTCCACAACTAGGGATGGATTTTTTTGTCAAATTGTCGTGCCAACCGAATTGCCAACATTGCCATACTGATTTTGTGTCAATCGATAATGGTACGGTATTGTACCATACCGAAATTTCATGGTACAGTGTAGGTAATGGATATCATTACTATGGTATTACCGTATTGTTATGAAAATAAAATAAAATATATAATATATAAATGATATAATATATAATATATAATTATATAACACATATTTATAATATTCCAATAATTTGAAAATAAAACCCTACTAGGATTGTTGTTGGTGATTTTGTTCTCTTGAGTTGGTGGAAATCAAATACAAAAGAGTTTTCAATTCTTTCACAAATAGCCAATGATATTTTTGCAACCCCCACTTCTACTGTTGCTAGTGAAAATGCATTTAACATATGGAGGAGGGTTGTGGACCCCTTTAGGGCATCCTTGACTCCTAAAATGGTAAAGGCACTAGTGTGTTCTAGTGATTGGCTTATGACAGATGAAGTAAACTTCTACAAACGGAATATATGCTTCAATTTTACAAAGAAATGGAAGAAGTGGAACAAGTAAGATATGCTCTAATTTTTTAGTAAATTTGTTATTAAATGGTTTTCAAATTTAATTATTCTTGCTATTAATATGTTTTCTTTGTTTGTAATGTAGGCTTGACACAAGCTCAATCTTCTACAAGTTCAATGACTCCTCCAAAACCTTCCACATCTCAAGCTTGAGAATTGATCAATGAATCACAAGCTCAATTTTCATTTGGTTTGAAACTTTAACTTCTATTTGTTTTGGTTCGTAACTTCTATTTGGATTATAAGCTTAATTTTCATGAATCTTGATGCATCATTTATTGTGTGTGAATTGTGAATGATGAATAATAGATGAATTTAGGCTACAATGTATGAGATAAAAGTACCAAAAAAAACAAGTTTTACCCTTGAATTGTGTTAAAAAAACAAAAACAAATTTTGTCCCAAAACAAAGTGGCAATTACCATTGCTGTACCATACCAACCGAACTATTTGGCAATATCGAACTTCAGTGTACCAAAAGTTTGGTACGTTAATGGTAATAAATTTTGGGGTAAATTACAATTTACCCCCTCATGTTTGGGGTCGATTTCAATCCCTTACAACATCTTTAAAACATTTTGTTTGTACCATACTTGACCAATCCCGAAACTACTGAGCACCGGTCAACGTTATACCGTCAAGGACCCAGAAGAGTTTCACTCCAACCAGAAGGCCAATCACAGCGCGACACGTGTCGACATCAGAAGCCAATCATAGCGCGACACGTGTCAACATTAGAAGCCAATCACAACACGACACATGTCAATGTCAGAATGAAACTAGAAACTCTCTTCTATAAATAGAGATCATTCTCTCACAATATTTCCTAATGTCATTTGTACTAAATCATTCACTAGTACTCACAAAATGAGAGCTTGAACCTATGTACTTGTGTAAACCCTTCACAATTAATGAGAACTCCTCTACTCCGTGGACGTAGCCTATTTGGGTGAACCACGTACATCTTATGTTTGCTTCCTTGTCTCTATCCATTTACATTCTTATCCACACTAGTGACCGGAGCAATCTAGCGAAGGTCACAAACATAACATTTTCTGTTGTACCAAAGTCCTCACTGATTTTGTGCATCAACACATCTCAATCTCATACATTAACTATCATTTTATTTCAATTTCATACATCCGTTATAAAATCCGTTAAGTGATGATGTGGCAAATATGGGATCCACATTTGTGCTGACGTGGCTAACAAATTTGTGCCACGTGGCAAAAAAAAAAAAAAACCAAACAAACCTAGAAACCCATCTTCTCCCTCCCCTCCCAACCCCTCCTCACCTTCGCCGAGCCCAACCCCTCCACCTCCGGTGCTTTTCACCGCCACCATGTCCAACCCATTCCTCCTCACACTTCTCCTCCACCTACTCGCCATAATCGAGGCCCACTCCGACCACCAAAACGACACCCCCGTCGACCGCTTCCAAAACTACCTCCAAATCAACACCACCCACACCAACCCAATCTATGTTGCCCCCATCGCCTTCCTCACCGCCATCGCTCAAACCCTAAACCTCCAAATCTAGACCCTCCATTTCACCCTGTCCAAATCCAAGCCCCTCTTCCTCACCTGGCCTAGGTCCCACCTCTCTCTCCCCTCCCTCCTCCTCAACTCCCACCTTGACTTCCTCCCCATCGAGCCCGACAAGTGGACCCACATTCCCTTCTCCACCCACTGCACCCTGAAGGCCCTCATCTTCGCCCGCGGCGCACAGGACGATAAGTGCATCGCCATCCAGTACCTTAGATTCTGGCTTAGACCATGGACCCCTGCAATTCATCCGTCGGGACCATCGCATACATGAGTTTGGAGAGGATCAACACTAATCTGGGTTTTTTGGGTGGGGTGGGGAGGTTGTGGGGGAGATTGGATTTTTGGAGCTAGTAATTAGAAAGAGAGGGAGTGTATTTGATTTAAGGGTGGGTTGCTCAGGTGGTAGAAGGGGTGAGGAAGGCGAAGGGGTTTCTGGTTTATTTTATTTTAAATTAATTAATTATTTTAATATTTTAAATTTTTTATTAAGTGTTTAGCCACGTGGCACAAATGTGGTAGTTACGTCAGCACAAATGTGGATCCCATATTTTGCCATGTCATCACTTAACTGATTTTCTAACGGATGTATAAAATTGAAATAAAATGATAGTAAATGTATGAAATTGAAATGTTTTAAAGATGTTATAAGGAATTGAAATCGATCCCAAATCTCAGGGGGTAAATGTAATTTACCCTAAATTTTGTCAAATCGAAAATTTAGTACAGTAATTGGTACGAAAGTTTTGGTATGATAACTGTACTGAACCCACCCCTATCCACAACTTCATGTTGTCAGTAGATATCTCATATGGCAAAACAAAAAGGAAAATAAAAGAATAATTTCAACAATAATTGAATAGTGGGCTTTTTCTACATTGGCCTTTTTCTATATTGGGCTTTTTAGGTTTGCAAATCATAAGCCTTAACTCCCCATGGAAAGCCCAAGAAGAATGAGAATGGGTTTAAGTTTAACTAATCCATCTACCCGCCAAATGCCAATGGGTTTAAGTCAACCTCGCATATTTCGTTGAATGACAGGAACCACCCTCCTGCCAGCCCACAGAAACGTGTCGAATATAGTTAGAAACAGTCTGGGACCCACGGTTACTATATGAGGATGTTCGATTATCTTAATTAATTCTCACCTAAATCTTTTGATCAGGCTAAGCAATCCGGAACAGAGAGCCAGCGGAGAAGATGAGTTACCAGAAAGCTCCCCAAGAACCCTACCCTCCTCCAGGTATAACCAAAACAAACACGCTTCCTTTTCAGAGTTTCAAATCTTTTCAATGCAATTGTTCAATTACTTTTTACTGATCGATATTATTATTTGTTTTTATGTAATCAAGGATATCAGTATCCGCCGCCGGGCTACCCATCAGCTCCGCCGCCACCGCTGCCATATGAAGGGTACCCACCGCCGCCGCCTCCACCGTACGAAGGCTATCCACCACCACCACCTGGGTATCCTCACGGATACGGTCCGCCTCCGCCGCCGCGTGATCCACCGTACGAGGGGTACCAAGGTTATTTCAATCAGGGGTACCCTCCGCCACCTCCTCCGCAGCAGCAGCAATACGAGCACTATCACTGCGAGCATAACAATTACCAAGAGCAAGATGGTTGTATGTCTTTCTTACGAGGCTGGTATGTAATCTTCCATCTCTGCCGTCTACTCTTTACCCGCCCATTTCAGATTCTCTTCCTTTGTTCCTTACATACACAATTGGAACTTGATTAAAATTTATCTAATTTACTGCCAAGCTCCCAACTTTTGAATTGGATTAATGGTTGTGTGCATAAATAAAGGTTTATGCTTTTGAATTTTCATAGGAGAATGTCCAAGTATTTTTGTTAGTAAATTCTCTATCTAGCCTCTAGCATTGAATCCTCAAGCTTTCCTACATGTCATAGTGTCTTTTGGTTAGATTTTTTTACAACACCTATATCACTAGTTGTCCTACTCCAAATCTTATGCACGAGAGATTTTCTCATGTCACCAATTCACCATGTGGCAAGCGCTTATGGACGGGTGGTTCACTTTTTGAACATCCGGTAAACGTTTACTAGACAGCCACATGTGATGTGATTATGATAGTGCATTGGTTTTAAGAAAGTTTTTTCTCCTCGTGCACAGCTGATATTCTTATCAGAAGACAGGAATACAGAATGTTGCTTTGCCTTTTTGTCCTCATGTAATAATGCTCGGACATTCGTTCAGGATATACGCTTTTCAAATGAATAATGGCACAGTGTTCGCTTCTGTAGTTTTTCAAAGGTTTAATCTTGGACTGTCAAATCATGAACACTTACATTGCTCGTCTAGAAGAAGCCTGGTGCTAGGATTGAACAAAAGTTTTTAACTTGTGTCCAGGCGTTAGTTACTCCCTAGGCGTTAGGTACTCCCTCCTAAGCTTTTTAGGCTCATCCCTAATTCTGAGCTGATATGAACAATAGCTAAAATAATGTGAGTGAGAAATTTCAAGCCAAATACATGTCAAGCTCGCTCC